CTGGCTGGTCATTTTCCAGCCTGACCAGCTAGGACCAGGCTGGAAATGGCTGGAAACCAGCCTGGAAATGGCCAAAACCCCTCTAAAACCAGGCTGGTCGACCAGCTAAAACCAGCCAACCAGCCTAGGCTGGTTTAAGCTGGATTTTTCAGCAGGGAGAAGCTTTACAACATTATATATTTGTGCATATACATTAGATTAGTCAGTACTAAAGCCAAATCTGGAGGCAATCTAGCAAAATGACTTACAATAATCAGAATCAGTTTTACTGCCCAGTGTGCTTCACACACACAAGGAATTTATTTTGGCTCCAGAAGCTTCCAGTGTACGTAAAGTGAACACACAAAATAAATATGGAAAAACGAAATACGACATTAAACAGACATGCAGTTAGTTAAGAAATCTGGATGTTGAGTTGCATGTACAGATTTGTTTGGCGCTGTGTACAGGTGCGTGTGGAGAAAGTATTGCATTGTATATTGATATAAGGTGCTGTGTACAGGTGCGTATGGGAAAGTCGTGCACATATTTATTGCACAGCAGGGGAATATTTAACTGTTTATGAGGTAGATGGCCTGAGGAAAGAAACTTTTCCTGTGTCTGGCTGTTTTTGTGCTTGGTGCTCTGTAGCGCCGACCAGACGGTAACAATTCGAACAGGTAGTGTGCTGGGTGCGAGGCGTCCAGAGTGATTTTGCGAGCCCTTTCACTCACTCTGTAAGAGTATAGTTCTTGAAGCGTTGGAAGGGGTAGTGCCAGTGATGCGTTCAGCGGTCCGAACTATTCGGTGTAGTGTACAGAGGTCTGTTTTGGCAGCTGAGCTGAACCAGACGGTGATTGAAGTGCAGAGGATGGATTGGATGACAGCTGAGTAGAACTGCACGAGCAGCTCCTGTGGCAGGTTAAACTTAAAAGGTAGTACAGTCTAATAATAGTTTGAAAATTAGTAGCCCAAAGTTATATGTTAGGTAAAAATATTATATTTTCAAAAATAGTAAATATCAAGAGAAACAGTCAAGTGAATCTAGAGTATCGAGGAAGAAAGAGTGTGGATTTTTGTGATGTCATGAGATCATTGGGACGGTTTCTAGAAACCTGTAGAAATTGTAGGCTTTTTGTGCTGTGTATGGCACAGATGATTGCAGCTCAATATTTCATTCAATGCTTTAGCTTCTGCTGAGTGTAGTTTTTCCACTGGAAAAGATAATATTTTCCACTTCAATATTAGTACTACAGTTATTTAAAATGGCTTAGCTGGACTGTTTGACTTGCAACGTGATGAGAAAAAAATCCACCAGGACCACATGTCCTTTTCATAATTTTGTATTTTACATTATATTACATTTATGCATGCATTTATCCAGAGTGCACTCATTTTTGCGGTGCATTGTGCGATTGATTGAGTGCAATTTGTGCATGCAGAACATCCACTTTTGTTTTCAGACAGCACTAGAAATGTCTGTGCAGTCCTTAAAGGTATAGGAGGAGATTTTTGTCATGCATCCCAGGTTTCTGCAGCACATGCACCCTCTTTAAACCTGCACTTCAACTCCACTAACAAACTAAAAGCTGTGCTCTGATCGGATCATCTGAATCAATGAATTTTTGACTTGACACCTACTCTGACTGAATCATTTGAATCATTGAGTTGTGAACAGGAGACTCACTCTGAGTGGATCATTAGAATCAGTAACACATGAACTGGTGCTTTCCAAATGGGATATGTTGAAGTTTTGTTCCAAACTGAATACTCAAAACTGGCCACTTTCAAGGGCCCTTTAAAGCTCTTCGATCAGGCATGTCCAAACTCGGTCCTGGAGGGCCGGTGTCCTGCAAAGTTTATTTCCAACCCCAATCAGACCCACCTGGACTAGCTAATCAAGCTTTTACTAGGCTTTCTAGAAACACCCTTGCAGGTGTGTTAAGGCAAGTTGGAGATAAAACCTGCAGGACACCGAGTTTGGACACCCCTTTCTTATATAATCAGACAAGATCCTTTGAATCAGTGAGTCATTAGTAGCAGAATTGATCTGACTGGACTATTTGAATCAGTCAACTGTTACTTGTTATTTGAGTTGCTGTCGCCTTTCTATCAGCTGGAGCCAGTCTGGCCATTCTCCTCTGGCCTCATCAACAAGGCATTTGCGCCCACAGAACTGCCACTCACTGGATATTCCCTCTTTGTCGGAGCATTCTCTGTAAAGCCTAGAGATGGTTGTGCGTGAAAATCCCAGTAGATCAGCAGTTTCTGAAATACTCAGAGCAGCCCGTCTGGCAGCAACAACCATGCCACGTTCAAAGTCACTTAAATCCCCTTTCTTCCTCATTCTGATGCTCGCTTTGAACTGCAGCAGATCGCCTTGACCATGGCTGTTTCTCAATTCCAAGAACACAGAGAACAGACTTGCGTTCTTGTGGAGGGCGGTCTTGCCAGGTGTCCTCGAAAAACGAACTCAGGTGACCGCGAGGGCAGAGAACGCGTTCTTTGAGAATTGAGATGCTGCGTTCTTCCCGATGGTCACATGACCGTCACGCGTTTTAAATGGAAATTATTTAAACATTACAGCACTCATACAACAATTTATTGTTGTCCCCCTTTTCAAAATATATACTTTGCATAAAAACATTATAAATATACTCTGCACAATAGAAATAAAACACATTTTAATACGATTTTCAGCAAACAAACACCCTTAATGTGTTTATTCCTTTATTAAGATGTTCATGGTGATGTTTACTTTCACCGTTTCATTTAGGGAAACTCCTGAGGTAATTAAGTGATATCTCTGAACTTTAATAATAAATCTAAATAAAATGCAGCGCTTCCCACCTCCAGTCGCAATGACTTCTGGGACTTCCAGAGCGAGTTCGGTGCTCAAGTCTGCATCAGTGCGTCATCAATATCAAGATCACATCCGGGAAGTTTTAACACGTCCTCCGTACTTGCGGTCTTGAGTATTGGAACTGAACTTAGGCAGCTGATGATGACGTTTCACGAGAACACGAGGACGCAAGACCGCTGAAGAACACATATTGAGAAACAGCCCACGTCTACATGCCTAAATGCCATGTGATTGGCTGATTAGAAACTTGTGTTAACGAGCAGTTGGACAGGTGTACCTAATAAAGTGAGTGTATGTAATAGGACATACTCAGACATTTTGAACATCAGAGTCTAAATAACCTTAATAATGGAATGTCTTAGTCTCTTGAACAGGTTATAGAAGCAGGTCTCTACATCTAAAGCAAACAGTAAAATCTCATTTGCATTTGAAAATACCCAGCGTCTTTTTGTGTTTCGCTCATGTTCAGGAAGAGCGCTCTTGTCTGCGTTTCAGTGTAAAGCCCTAAAATCCACACATCCAGGCTCTAATCATACATAATGGCTAATCAGAGCATTTCCTCCCTTTTCTCCTCCGGAAACATGTGCTTGATTTGGCAGAGCGCGTGCATTGGGAGCGTAGGCAGAGGCGTATGAAATGATTCTGCTGCATAATGCAAGTGATGAGGCTTTGGCTGCAGAACGAGCCGGAGAAAGGAGAATGAGCGAGCGCTAATGCAATGCAAATCACATCCAGCAGAGATGATGATGAGCGGGCCGGGGGTCAGCGGGCTGAGGCTTCGGTCCCAGCGACCGCTTATACACTCCAAAAATGACTGACCGCCCTTCAGAGTCCATGGAGAAGAGGAGTTATGCAGAACGACAATGGAGGGAGGCATGCAGGAAAGACAAGCAGCACATGTGCAATGATGAACGTGTTACAACAGCAGAATCCAACGTTACTATACACTGCAGTAAATGCTTATAGGTAGAGTTTGTCTTGTTTTTAGGGTAAATATCTAAATAAATATATCAAGAAGCTTTTTAGAAGTGAAAAGCAAATATATTGTGTTGTTTTCAGAAATAATGAAGAGAAAAATTTGATTACTCAGCTTGTTTTAAGGAAAAACTCACTTAATTTTGATTCATATTTCTGAAAAAACAAGAAAATATTGTGTGCATGTCTAGAAAGTGCTTCTTGATTTGAGTATTTTGAGGTATTTGGAAGTTTCCCAGAGATGGGTTGCGGCTGGAAGGGCATCCGCTGCGTAAAAACTTGCTGGATGAGTTGGCGGTTCATTCCGCTGTGGCGACCACGGAATAATAAAGGGACTAAGCCGAAAAGAAAATGAATGAATGAGATATTTGGAATGGCGACACGGTGGATCAATGGTTAGCACTGTTACTTCACAGCAAGAAGGTGGCTGGTTCATCTGATTTTTACCGCATTTTCAGACCTTACCACATTCTCACCCTGTTATTTACTTGTTTATTTTATTTTTTGGCTTCTGTTTTTGTCTTATCCGCTTTCTGGAACTGTTCTTCCCCAGACTAACCCCGTCATTATGGTCAACTCCACTCTGCATCTGCCGACGTATGCGCCGAGCCACTGGGCAAACTGGTAACATCGGAAAAGCCGTCCACATGGAGGTAAGCGGTCAGCTAGTAAGTGTTAAAAGAAACGGCATCATACCATCCTGTATCATTCGTTTTGAAGACAAAATGCAGACATGCGTTCCTCTGGCTACATAATTTGTGCTCTCCAGAAATGTATACAGGGGTACATTTTCAGAATGAGCTGTTCTGCTGAAACGTTCTGAGTTTATTTATTGAGCATTTAGGGTGAGGACACTGACCTGAACAGACTGTTGTGCATGTGTTTAGTTTATTTTAGCTTTTAAAGAGGAAAAAAGAAAATGTATGTTGGATAAATTAGAGTATACAACTGTGGTTTGGTTGCGTGACACGTTATTTAAAATATTCTGTATATAAAAAATTCTGTCATATAAAATGTTGTCCAAACACAAATCGATTAACTTGTTTTTACACATAAGTGGATTGAACAGGTGTGTCACGGTGGCGCAGTGGGTAGCACGATCACCTCACAGCAAGAAGGTCACAGGTTCAAGCCTTGGCAATCTCAGTTGGCATTTCTGTGTGGAGTTTGCATGGTCACCCAGACATGCACGATAGAGGAATAGTGTAAGCTAAATCGGCCGTAGTGTAAGTGCGTGGATGAGTTTGTATGGGTGTTTCCCAGTGATGGGTTGCAGCTGAAAGGGCATCCGCTGTGTAAAACATATGCTGGAATGGTTGGCGGTTCATTCCGCTGTGGCGACCCCTGGTGAATAAAGGGACTAAACTGAAAAGAAAATGAATGAAATAGTAAAAAATGAAAAAATAAAATTAACTAAAATTATAATTAAATATTAATATAATAATAAAATAGTAATAAATTAAATTAAAGGAATAATTAATAGAAAAACTGCAGCTTATTGTTAAATGCATAATAAATAACAGTAAATAATGGAGTTTAATTGCAAAACATCTCTGCAATAATTGTTATGCTTATGTTAAATAGTTAATTTATAAAAAGGTTTTGTTCCTTTAGTGATCTTGTGTTGTCCAGTAAAACCCAGTACTTTAAACATCTGCAAAAAGGTTTAAAGAAGGAAAAGGAACAAATTAGAGATTTGTAAAAATAATCAATTAATTATTTATTTGTATTAGATAAGTAAATAACGAAAGCAAATAAAATTTTTTTTTTACCTAATTTACAATTTTTTATTGTAATTAAATTTAATTTAAAAATGGATAAGTGGGCACTTTTCTGTGCTTCTGAACGGCTGTATTTACATTTCTGTCGTGTTTCGTCTTGAGCAAACAGCCCAATTGCTGATCACTGCAAATCTCATCATGTAGCGTGTTGTTAGGACACGGAGTTACAAAGTAACCTGCTCACCTAATGTTTACGCTCGTAATATTTATATTATTTGCTAATTAATAACCTTCTAGTGGAACTCTGAATCTGCGTCTCATTTTGGAGTCTGCTGCCCTGTTTACACTAGTGCGTTTTAGTTTTAAAACGTCGTTTTAGATCAAAAACGATCCGCGTCCACACTAGCGTTTCAGAACATATCTCCGTCCACACTACGCCACCAAAAACGAATATCACGTGACCATTGGCGCACTCTGGGCATGCGCGTTCTAGTATAAACAGGAAGCATGTGTCTCGCTCGGTGTTTGGTTATCGTTAGTCAACAAACGCCGGTTTAACAATGAACGCGATGGCAAAGAAAGCAAGAGAGGTATTTCTGTTGACAGATGATGAGGTCGAGTTGTTACTAAACGTAACAAATGAATAACGGCACAATGGCGCCTAAAACAGACAATAGTGCAAACAACGCTCCCATTTCTGTGTCCGTGTTGTTGTTTACAGTACTGTCTTCCGGTAGCGTTAGAGCCATGTGTTATAGTCATGTGATAGGGGCTTGACGGATAAGGGAAGGATACGCAATGACACAAAAGCCCCAATCAGGTAGCGAATCTCAGCAGCCCCGCCTCCATTTCCAGATGTCTCCGTTTTCCCTCATCCACACTGAGACGGAGCAGCAGCGTTTCAGAATGAACACGGCCTCTCCAGCGTTTCCAAAACGCTCCGTTTTCAGCGCTCAAACTCTGGCGTAGTGTGGACGGATGGACCATAGCGTTATGCGTTTTCAAACTAAAACACATTAGTGTAAACGGGGCCTGCTACTGTCCACCAGAGGTCGCGTTTCGGTCACAGACGCATGCTTCGAGAGCCTTCCAGACACGTAATGCACATGTTCAAAGCAGAATATCTGGCTTCAGCATTGTTTTTCAGATAAACAATGTTCACTGAGCACGATTCTGAAATATCTGCACTCATATGATGGTGTTTTTATGCTCTACAAGAGTCAAAAACTTACACACAGCACCTTTAACCAAGTAGTTTGAACAAGCAGAGTGTAAGAAGAGTGTAAGCAGCTGATTTTTGTTGTTGTTGGGGGAATTAAAATATTTTTCAAAGTCTGAAATTTCATCCATAATGGTCTTAAAAAGCTCTTTATAAAGTGCTAAATTTGACTTGGTGAAACCTGCAGAACTTCCGGAAGAGCACACACACACACACACACACACACACACACACACACACACACACACACACACACACACACACACACACACACACTATCAATTCGGTGTTCCGGCATTTGATCGGTTTTCTATTTACTTTTCACAAGAATGAATCGTATTTGTTGCCGCGAGCGAGTCCAAATGTCTTTTTGATTCCCGGAGCTGACCTAAATTCTCCAGAGGCTGAAGTCATTTGTATTTTGTAAGGTGAATTAATTGCATGAGAAGCCTGAGTTAACAGTGTTTGATTCATTCATACGCTAATGTCTGCTGGCAAACCACAGACTCCGCACGGGTTTGACAGTAACGTCTCTGCTCACCTCCCGAATGGGGCCAACGAGAGAGAGAAAGAGAGAGAGAAACCGACAGAGTGAGCACGTCAGCCAACTAATAATAAAAAGATGTGTCTCTTTTGTTGTTGGGCTGAAAGATGACTTGCTATTATTCCTATGATTATCAGCCACTCGTCGTTATTATCTAACAAAAGCGCTGATAACGAAGATGCTGCAGACTTGCTGCATTTGCTGACAGTCACGCTGATGATCACAATGGCTACCGATAAACATTTCAGGATCGTCCAGAATTTAATTTTACACTCCAGAAGCCAAATTAGCGTGCTTTTTTAATGACAGATAAAACATTTCGCTGAATATTTGTAACCCCGGAGCACAAAAAAAGCAGTCGTATGTTGTGATATAGCCAAAAGTACACATATGTTAAGTCAAAATAATCGTTTATTTCTATAATATGTCAAAAATCATAATAATAATAATAAAAGGATAGTTCATAGAAATAGAAAAATTGTGTCATTATTTACTCCATATTTTACTCGTTTTAAACATTTATAGGTTTCTTTCTCCTGTTGAACACAAAAGAAGAATGCTGTTTTTCTTACAATAGAGGTCAATGGTTACCGGTTTTCAGCATTCTGAAAACTGCTAATTCTTTAAACCTGTTTGAGTTTCGTTCTTCTGTTGAACATTGAAGAAAATATTTTGGAGAATGTTAGAAACCGGTAACCATTGACTTCCATTTGTTATTCCTACTATGGAAATCAATGGTTACCGGTTTTCTGCATTCTTTTGAATATCTTCTTTTAACCAGTTTGAGTTTTGTTTTTCTGTTGAACACTAAAGAAGATATTTTGAAGAATGCTGAAAACTAGTAACCATTTACTTCCAGTTGTTTTTTCAACTATGGAAGTCAATGGTTACTAGTTTTCAACATTCTGCAAAATATCATGTTCAAACCTGTTTGGGTTTTATTCTTCTATTGAACACACATAAAGAGATTTTGAAGAATGTTAGAAAGCGATAACCATTGACTTTCATTTGTTTTTCCTACTAAAGAAATCAGTGGTTACCTGTTTTGAACATTCTTCAAAATATCTTCTTTAAACCTGTTTGAGTTTCGTTTTTCTTTTAGACACTGGAGAAGATATTTTGTAGAATGCTGAAAACCAGTAAATACCATTAAATATGACATAATTTTTGATCAGTAATATGCATTTCTCATAGCTTAATGTGGTCAACTTTATAGCTGATTTTCTCACTATATATATATATATATATTTTAATCTTCAGATTTGATATTTTAAGCAAATATTGTTTTATTCCATTAATGGACAACTGATACATCTTTCATGCAATGTTTAAATCTCAATTTCAACATAAATTGACACTTGATTTGGTTTTGTGGCCACATTTATTTTACTCTGCATGGAAACAGAGAGCAGAGTAAAAGCTGAGATGCTCAAGACTGGACCAATCAAAGAAATAAACTACATTACACGCTTGTTTTACACATTCACACTGGCTACACTGCCAAAACCGTGCTCTAAATGTAGATACAGATGCACTTTATACACATTCCAGCGATTATATCCTCCAGCAGAGGGCAGCAAACACGTGAAATGCTGCATTTGTAAACCTTTTATGTGTATGTGTGTGCGCGCGCGCGTGTGTGACGACAATCTCTTCAAGCCCTCAGAAAGAGCGACATCAAAGGCATAAACGCAATACCATTTTCTCCAGTGACATCCTAAGTATTTTATTTCACATTAAAGCCTCTCTTAACGTGTTGGGAACACTGAAATTATTCCTGGATTTCAAAGCCATGCATGTGAAGGACATTACTATGAGCGCTGGGTTGCCATAGTAACTCCAGGGCACGTAATGTAGTGAGTGTGTGTGTGTGTGAGTGTGTGTGTGTGTGTGTGTGTGTGTCAGGTAATGAATTGCTGATGAACAGCACAGCAAAACTTGATTTTGGAAAGCGGCTTATGCCAAATTTAGGCTCCACAGCTATTTATAATCCTCCCTGGCGAAGAAGAAAAACTGTTGGCTGTTTACAAATTATTTATTAGGCATTAATGTGTTAATCATAACTCTAGCTCACCCAAAACTGACAATACTGTCATCGTTTGCTTATTATTCGCATTGTGAAACCTGTTTGAGTGTTGTTCTTCTGTTAAACACTGTTAAAAGAGATGT